CCCCCCCCCCGATAGATGTAAAACCTGCCCTCCGACCTCCCTGTCTGTCTTCTCTCTGACCTTCCTTACATTGATGGTCAGTGGGGGGAGGAATGTTCGTGACCTCTGTGTCTGCGCTGCTCTCCTATCACATACATTGTTCCCAGTTCTCTGTGTCGACTACAGAACACCTCCTTTCTAAGTTATGGAGATGAGGAGAGGGGGGTGTTCTGTAGTCCTAGGTTGACAACGCTGATCCTCCATACAGTACACGACTGAGCGTTGTCACTCTAGGACAGGATCGCTGGGTGAGAATAAAGGAAACACATCTAGAAAAGGGGGAAATTGTTACAAGGTGACATTTTCTCACTTCCTGATGGTCACATTCACCCCGACTTCCACCTCCAGCACAGCGGCGGCCATCTTGCGCCACGACAACGAGTTCCGGGACAGTCCGGCCAATCACACGGCGCCCCACTGCTCCAGAGATCCTCCAATCACAGACCTAAACGGTGACCAGCTGACCCCGCACACGTGACCAAGAAACGGTACCTGGCAGGGGTACGGCCATATTGGTTTTGGGATCCGGAATAAGGTCCCCGGGGCCTGATTCTCACATCCAGTATCGCTCTCAGTCGTTGCTCGATCTGTTGGCGTCTCCTATCAGCAGTAACAACACAAAAGAATAACGCGGAATTCGGGTGTGACTAAAAGAGTGCTGGTCCACAGGAAAATGGCCGCCAATCTTTTCAGAGGGCTCTTTAGCCTCTGGCGTGCATTAGAAGGAGTGTTGTCTGGTGGCGTCAGAGGGCGGAGTCAAAAAGAACGCGGGAAGTTCAGGTATGGATCGGGAAGGGGGTCACTAGATACATGACTCCTTATAATAGAACATACATGACTAATCATCTGTGATCATGACACGATACATGTGTGATGGGGCGTGTATAATTGTGCTCTCCGAGTCCTGACTCCTGAGCAAGAGATAGATAAAGAGAACCTGTCACATTGCGGGCTTGTAATAGTGATAAAAGTAAATGAGTAAATAGTGGAAAAGTATAAAAATATATAATTTGGGGGTTTCAGTCATTTTCATGCCAAAAATGCAGAATTTAATGCGGGGCTGGTGACACTACAAGTCCCATCATGCCGGTGGCTGTCAGAGTCCCTCATGGGACTTGTAGTTCTACAACAGCTGCATTGCCGAGGTTACCCCTCCCCCTGTCTTAATAAACAATGTTGCTCTGGACAGGAAGTGGACGATGGTTGCCATGGATACAATCTGATGCTGTAATATTGTTGATTTCAGGTTGTTTCCTCCGAATGGCCCCCATCAGGATCCAGCATGTGGTGTCCTTCAGCTCCCAGGTAATACCCCCCCTCACTGGTCTGATCCCTGTAGGGTTAGAGTATCCATGGCGGAAGTGAGATGTCCCTCAGTACACAGAGCTCGGCATCCGGCGTTCATATTCACTATTCTTTGTTTTCATTTTAGTCATTGAAGCTCCGGGCTCTGCGTTATGAGATTGGCTGCTGCTTACAGAGCTCAGTAGCTCATGCTGAAATGTACACACACAACAGAGAGCTTTGACTCCTCCCCCACTAGACCAGTGACTCCTCCCCCACTAGAGCAGTGGTTCTTCTTCAGAGTTGAGAATTTTCCCCCTCCAGACCATTGACTCTTCACCTTCTAGAGAAGTGTCACCTCCAAAACAGCAACTCCACCCTCTCCAGAGCAGTGACTCCTCCCCCTCCTGAGCAGTAACTCCTCCCTCTCTGCCAGCTTTGTTTAGATAGCTCAGTATGTAAGTTTTAATCAGAGATTGGCAACCTCAAGTCTTCTGCTGCTCTCTCTCTCTCTCCCCCTACTCTCTCTCTCCCTCCCTCCCCTCCTCTCTCCCCTCCCCTCCTTTCTCTCTCCCCTCCTCTCTCCCTCCCTCCTCTCTCT